TATATATATATATATATATATATATATATAATAGTATATAATATATATATATATATATATATAATATATATATATATATATATATATATATATATATATATATATATATATATATATATATATATATCACTTAGCTATCCTGACGCACACTTTGTATGTGCATAGATGCGTGTGCGCTCATATATGCATACATACTTCCCCTATCTTAGTCAGATTCGGACAATGCAATGGGTCTGAATACTTTACTTCCCGTTCGTCCGCTCCTGCCTCCGGCGTAAAGCATCGCGTAACTTACATCAAACAATCATTCGCTAAACTATCACTGCCTATCCCCGTTCACACACACACACGCCATCAACCAACTACTAGGCACACACTGACCAAGAACCATGTCCTACACTCCTCAGCTCACTCCCCACTGGCCCGGGCGGATGCCATGCCATGCCCTGCATCCACGAGAACATGGAGGACACTACCCTTGCAAATGTACACGCACCCTTGGCCTCGCCTTCTACGCTATCTACAGACGCGGCGAATGGGCGTAGACACAGTGTAGGCGTGTGCTCAGGACCAACTGCTGACCATTCGACGTGTACGGCAGCTACCAGTGGCTTTGACTCGGGGTGTGCTTTGTGTACTGTGCTGAACCCTAAACGCTCATACCCCAAACGCTCATACCCTAGTACCCTAACAGCCTAATAGCCTATAACCCTACAACCCTATAACCCTGAAGCCCATACGACTGGTACGGCCAGTGACTTTGCCTTGAGATGTGTTCTGTGTACTGTACTAAACCCTGATACCCTAACACCCTACTACCCTAATATGCTGATTCCTCGGGGTGAGTTATATGTATTGTAGGGATGTTCTTGGTGTGTGCATGTGTTCATGTGTGTGGCTGTTTGGTTGACATGCACGCCTGTGTATGCGCCCATACTATCATGCATGATATTTCAGATCTCATCTACACGTAGATCATGACATACCGTACACTATACCTTTGTATCTGCATCGGCCTTCGCCTCACACTGCGCCTTCCTTGTTACTTAATTGGTATGATTGCTGACTGTGTTCGTTCGTACCATCTCTGAAACTCTGCGAGGAAAACCAATGATTTCAATACTATCTCCGTTAGAGTATCACCACCTCTACTATCGCGCCACCATGTACACTTATCATCGCAGTACCATTCATACCTTCACTTCTTCGGCGAAAGCCAATGGTCGTATTCCGTATATTTATTCTTATTCCTATTTTGTAAAAACAAGTGTCATTGATACCGTTTGTGCCTTATATCTCAGTGTCCTTCATACCTTCACTCGCAGGTTCTTCGGTTCCCCACGCACTCAATGCAATGTGCCGAGCCCTTCTCCTGCACTGGCGTGGGGATGGTTGACGGTGGGTGCCAGTGCCATCTCTGTTAAACTCTGTGTGGAGTTGGCAGAGGCGATGATGGCGCAAGGTAGCTACGAAACCGCCGCTGTGTGCCTAGAAACACTGCTGAATGGGTATGTCGTTTGTGAGTACGCCGAATGGTGAAGTGCAGATATAGTACTGACTTGCAGGCTAATGATAAGGCACATAAGCAGCAGCTCACCATACATCTGGCACTTCACTGCCGAATGAATACGTATTCGCGTGCCGTATAGTGAAGTGGTAGTACGCAGATGTTTGTCTTTGACTGCATAAATGACATTGCCACGCGGGTGACTGGAAACACTGCGGTGTGTCCATACGTCTCACTTCAGCACGCACCCGTGTAGGGCATACATGTGTCGTCCACAACTTCTCACTATAGTGATCTAATACGCTTGTGGGACCCTCCACAGCTCCAGCAGTGCGTGTGCCAGTACCACGAGAAGTACCAGGGCTTCTCTACAGCCCAGCACCAGCAAGTCAAGTGTATCCGGATTCAGTATGGGGGGATTAAACATAGGTCTGAGTACCGTAAGTACCACCAACAGCTCGCATGCGCACTCCAATACAAGTGCCAGCCCAGGTGTGGGTGCCAATGGTGGACAGATGGCGGGGAGCAATGGAAGCGCTGGAGTCAAGAGCGTGGCCATGAGCTACCTTTCACCAACGTCAAGAGCCAAGGTAACATCGGGGCGACTTTTACGCGCGCAATTGTTTCTTTCATTTATGTTATATACATATATATATATATATATATGAGTAAATTTGTGTATAATATATATATATTTATATATATATTTATAAATATA